ACGCACCCAAGGTGAGCAGTTGCTTTGTTGAGTGTGACGAATATGCGTTTTATTTTTGCCGTGCAATCATACCACATATTATATAAGGTGACAATAATTACCAAGGCAGGGGTTAGCCTACCGTCAAAAATGTCCCATGATAACAACATAAACCATAGGGGGTTAAGGTTAAAAGGTCTTCTTGTACGCCAACATATACGATATTTCTGCTACCGTAAACAGTGATCTAAAATTACCCGGTTCTTCTCACTCTAGCTCATTGTCGACTCGAATAATCAAATAACCAAATGCTGAATCTCCAAATCCGAATAGTCGAATACGCTCTTTTATATGAACTCGTCATCAAAGAACTTTAATTATTCGTATACTTAAATTCATGTAACCTAATCACGCCTTGTTTTTATGAGATTCATACAATATTGACGTGTGACTTTATGAGGGCAAAACTGAATACCAACACTTTATCTTGTTTTTTTTTTTTTTTGTTGTTTTTTTTTTTGTTCTTGTTTTTGTTTTTGTTTTTTCCTTGATGATGAAATTCTATAAAATGCTACATTGTCCTGTTCTAAACTAAACAAAACTAAGAGCTTTAAAAACAAGAACGTAAATATATCGTTTTGTCGCAAAATTAAAGTCCGTGTAGTTATATTGGTAATTTACTATCGAATGAAAAGAAAACGGCTATTCTTCAAACTCATTCTCATAATGATAGAATTATCAATAACTTTAATTTCATGATACCATTCTTACAAAATACGCAATGCCTTTGTGTATTAGAGGGAACGTCTATACGAGCACTAAAATACGAATGACAATCAGTTGCCCTGAAAGAAATCAGACTTTAATGAATGCTACACAAATCTGTAAGGCGGGACCTGATCAGTTTTTGACATGTCTGAGACACAATCAAGCTAAATTAAGATTTAATTGATCTTTTAGAATCCTGGCATAAAATGAAGGTAAGAAAGCTAATCTCCCTACTTGCCATCGAAGTCCATCCTCATACGGTGCTCAACTACTGCAGTTCTGCAGTTTTATATACAATTATTTAGGGAGTCCATACGTGTGTGTGTGTGCGCGCGCGCACGTGAGTATGCACAATATTCACACATTTTACGAGGAAAAGTAGAGGGTGGCAAAATACATGCACTTTTCGTTTAAAGAAGCATTGCAGTCTTTTATAAAATCTGTAATTTTAGAAAAGGTCAGTGATAATGAATATTGTCAAATTCCTCTACATATATGAGCTTTTTATTCTGTGTGCCGCATTCCTTTAGAACAATGGGGAACATGGCTCTCCAAATCTTTGTATCTCTTGTGACCCTTAGCATTTTTTTCTTGACTAAGACTCTCTCAACTTGTTCTGCCATCCATTCACGCAAGCTAGTCAGGTAGATGACTCGATGCCTCCTCCTATGTATCTTGGTCACAATATGCCATGTTGTTTTCCAAGCCTTCATTCCTCATTATGTGTCCAAAGGAATTCAACTGTCTCTTTCTGATTCTGAGTATGTGTTCTTTCTGTTACCATTTTCTTTAAGACTTCCTCATTGCTTACTCGCTCCGTCCATGGAATTCTCAGTATCCTTCTGTATAACCACATTTCTGTAGCCTCCAGTTTTGTCCTCATCCGTGAGGAGATTTTCCAATATTCACTGCCATATGAGAGCATGAATATCACATAACAATCCAGCACTCTTCTTTGTTTCTGGCGAAATTTTTGTTTCTCAGCTCCTTTTGGAATTGACTCTTTCGTTAGTCCAGTGCCTGTTCAGATTTTGGTGTCGCATATTCCATCCTCTATTAAAACACTTCCCAAATATTTAAACTTCTTTACTTGCATGACGTTGAGATCTCCCATTTATAAGTTGCATCTTGGGATTTTCTCTTGCTGATGATCATAATTTCTGTTTTCATGCAGTTGATGGTTAGTCCTTTTTTCTCACTCTTTTTACTACCATATCCAGGAGGTCCTGTAGTTTTCTTTCCGTGTCAGCCATCAATACAGTGTCATCTGTATATCTTTGATTAAACCTGAAGAGAAGACGCATCATTGTCCTTTCTATTTTGGGGCAGGTACTCAATTCATTTTCTGTCTATATACAGGAGGTTTGCTTCTAGTATAATTTCCAGATAGATCTAGTTTTTCTATCAGAAAAATAGAAAATAGATCCTTCTGCCCTATTTTCTCAAAGGTGTAATCTATAAAACATAAGTGTGCATCCTTCTGCATTTGTAATTCTCTCTCTCTCTCTCTCTCTCTCTCTCTCTCTCTCTCTCTCTCTCTCTCGTCATAATCGGGTTTCCCTTTTCTATTTATTGCTGAAGCTCGCCAGATTTGTTTTTACTTTCACGGATTTCAATTGTTAATTTAGTTAGAATGAGTGACCACGGGTCAGAAATATCCAAAGGGGTGGAAGAAGAGAGCGGGATGATGGGACACCGGGTTACAACTTTCGACCTTTGGGAGGCACCTAAGGGAACTGAAGGACTGGCTGGCGTCAATAGGGAAGGGTTAGCTCATATATGAGCTGTCCGAAAGGGAGACGCTAGCATTCAATGCGGCAGAGGAAAAGGTATCAGCCGTGGACCCCGTGCTTACAGCAATGATGAGGAGTCATTGTTGTCGGAACCCATTTCTGAATGCCCAAGCGGACATCACCCCAGAAGGAGGGTAGCCAGGGTGTTTTCCTAGCTGATCCAAGAGGAGGAACTTTCCTGCGATGGAAAGTCAATGAGGGCTTTGATAGACACGGGGGCGTCGGTGTCCCTATTAGGAGAGGATCAGGACAAAAGCCTGAGGCTGTGGGGTTGATTAAGAAGACCTAATATAGAAATTGATCAGATGGAAGGTAACGGGAATAGTAAGGCTCCCGGTGAAGGTACGATGAACAACTAGTGTCCACAAATTCTATGTGGTCCCGGTTAATTGTCGGATAGATTCGAACTTAATGTTGCAAGTGAGATCGATTTTGCATGTGGACCACCCCGTTGCTGGGTGTTGAGAGGATGTGGCTTTAGCCTGTAACATTGCTATGATGTGTTTTTGAAACGCAAGAAAGGAAATATTGGTTTGATATTGTGGATTTAAAATGAGGAATATTTTAGTAATAATTGCTTACTACTAATGGTGTTTGGCTCTGATGAATGAGCCATGAAATTTAAAAGTGACCGAGTGTCACGGAAACGATCACCGTACACATTGAAGGGAAGATTATCCAGAATCATATTGATAGTTAACGGTGCTAATTGAAATTTAAAAGTAGGAAGGATGGGATGAGTGGATTCGGTGTCGTTGCGCGACAACGTCAGATTCATTAAAAAGCCCATCAAGTAACTAACAGTAGGAATTGGTTGAGGGAGGTGATGGGGTGTGGATAGCGCGTCACAGAGGACGAAGGAAATTACTTGTTGGTTCTGTCATTGGTCTGCACATTGGTCCTTGTGTATGTCCGACGGGGCTATTGATGAGACACGAACGCCACGTACCTGTCTAGGTTCAATCAGCTTGCTAAGGGTTAAAAGAAGAAAGGTTAAAGTTGGGAAACTAAGAGAAGGAAGTAGTGGGAATGCTCCAGAATAATTGAGTATGAAAATGAACAAACAATGAGTGGTTAGAGGAGTAAAATCAAGGAAATCTTTTTACCCTTGCAGAAATGGCTATTATGAAGGGACTGATACTATTGATGACGATGATAATGATGATGATGACAGGAGCCTGGAAACACAGTCAAAATACGATTTTCAAGAAAACAAGCAAAGTGATAATAACAAGGCCAAATTGGTTGGTCACCTTTGTGTTAAATTTGAACCCATATGAGTTACTATTGAACAAATTGGAGAGTGAGATAAGTAAGCTGGGTATAGCCAGGATGAAGGTAGCACAAAAAATATCCCAGGGAAGGGAGGTATCTGAGACTGTTGTACTCCCTGGAATTGAAGACAGCGATAAGGGAAGCCCAGTGGAAAGGTATGAGGAATTACCTGAAAGGAATCGAACTGTTACAAAACAGGAAGAAGATGATTGGAAAAGCGCTGAGTGTGCTGTTAGGAACAGTGACTGAAGATGATGTCAAGTTTATAAAGAAAGAAACTGGGGGAGATAGAAAAGGATCAGGGGGTCTTAGCCCAGGTGGCAAGAGAAAGTGTATCGATACTGAATGCGAAAAGGTTAGCACTGGCAGAGAATAAGGCAAGTATCAACAAATAACCTACGAGAACTAAGATAATGGGTTGCTAATAGTTCGGAGGCGGTGACGAATGAGTTAGAAGTGAGTTTATACAACAATATTTCCAGTATTTCGTCCTGGGTATGACTTTAAACTACATCCGGCATCGGATAGGTGAAGCTCAACAGCATGGGAAGGCAGCTCACCTAGTGGAAGGAAAACTCTTATTTCAATTCCCCGTTGGCCTTGCGGCTATATCCAGCCATAGAAAAGGCTTCAGGAATAAACCTCGAGGAAACATCCAGTGACGGAGCCCCTAAGGAAGTTCACCGTTGTATCCAACTCGTTCTGGCAGCTCCTGCGACAGCACCGGTCCCAAAATGTAGTGACCCTGTCATTCCTTTGGGGTCACCGGTGACGTGGAGAGGGGAGATGTGCTACATGGGCAACAGCCTGTCCTCCATATCACATCGCCCAGGCTTGCATCCGACCACACCACACTGCACCAAAACACCCTGCACTAAACCCGGAGAGTACATTCCAGTTTCGCCTTCAGCGTCGACACAACACGGAGAACGACAGTTACCGCTTATTAGCTACCACTAGATTGGCCTAGAGCACAGCGTCAGGAGTTGTTCTCGTCGGTGGGAGAGATTTTAGGATCTCATTAGACAGCTACCGCCCGCCTCAGTAAGGTGTTGTCCCGCCACGGTCTGCCTTCTTCATTGGTTGCATAGAGATTAAGAGACACCCGACAAGCAGACTTCAATCTTCGCATCAGGCAGCAACAAGAAATCAACTCTAAAAATGGGGTGTTGGAACGTCCGGACTATGCTGACCGGCCTCTCTGAAAATCCCCAGGACATCAGCGACTCCAGGAAAACTGCCGTCATCAACGACGAGCTTAAAAAGCTTCATATGGACATCGCCATTCTACAGGAAAGACATCTGGCTGACTCTGGATCGCTGACGAAGGACTACACATTCTTCTGGCAGGGGAAGAGCTCCGACGAACCACGCCAACACGGAGTGGGCTTCGCAATGAGGACCAGCTTGTTGAATACGGTTAAACCAAGTAGTAACGGCTCCGAGAGACTCCTCACACTCCGCCTCAAAATCACCGCAGGCTCTGTCAGCCTCGTTAGCGTGTATTTCCCGACACTCTCTGTCACACTGGACACCAAGGACGAGTTTTGCGACAAGCTGGCAACCACCATCAGCAGTATCCCCAGAAAGGAACTTGTTCTCCTGGGAGACTTCAACGCCAAAGTGGGTGCTGATCATGACTCTTGGCCTTCATGCCTTGGACAGTTTGGAGTCGACAAGATGAACGACAACGGCTAGAGGCTGTTCGAGCTATGCATTTAACATGACTTGTACATAGGCAACTCCTTCTTCAGGACCAAGCCTCAGCACAGGGTCTCCTGGTAACATCCACGCTCAAAGCACTGGCACTCATTATAGTCAGACAAGCCGCCATTAAGAACATCGTTCACACACGTTTTTACCAATGCGCGGACTGCAACACAGGCCACTGTTTGGTGTGCTGCAAGATCAAGCTCCAGTCCAAGAGGTTCCATCGCGGCAAGAAGCAGGGGAATCCTCGCATTGATGTCAGCAAGATGATTCACCCAAACCTTGTGCAACAGTTTGCCAAGGGGTTTGTGAACAAGCGGGCAAACTCACAGACCGGAGACTACCACAGAGAAGTAGACGACCTTGCGAGACACCATGCACCGCACCGCCTTCGCCACCTTTGGGAGAAAGACCTCAAAGTCATATGACTGGTTTGGGGCAAAGTCCGTCGAGATGACTCCTGTCATTGCGGCCAAGTACACCGCTCTTGCAGAACGCAAGTGGTCACCCAACAAGATAAATCTGCAGATCCTCCGGACTGCCAGGATCAAAGCTCATCACACTGCCAGACGGTGCGCCAACGAGTACTCGACATAGCTTAGCGAAACAATCTAGACAGCATCAATTACAGGGAACATCAGAGGGATGTAGGAAGGCATCAAGACGGCAATGAGACCAGTGCAAAACAAGACAGCTCCCCTCAAATCCACCACCGGAGACGTCATCGCACACAAGGGGCAACAGATGGAGAGATGGGTGGAACATTATTCCGACCTGTACTCCAGGCAGAATGTTGTGACGACCGTAGCCCTTGATGCCATTGAGTGTCTGTCGGTCATGGAGGACCTCGACTCCGAACCAACCATAGAGGAGCTTAGCAAAGCCATTGACAGCTTGGCGTCAGAGAAGGTCCCTGGCAGTAGGACAGTCTTGCAGTGACCTGATCGGTCACTGCAATACTGTCCTACTGCTCTCATTGCACGAAGTCCTCTACCAGTGCTGGAAAGAAGGGGCCGTACCTCAGAACATGAAAGATGCCAAGATCATCACCCTCTACAAGAACAAGGGTGAACGAAGCGATTGCAACAACTACAGAGACAGCTACTCCCGAGTCATCTTTGTCCGCCTGCAGAAACTCGCCGAACTTTTCTACCCAGAGTCGCAGTGCGGTTTCCGAGCTGAAAGACCAACGAAAGACATGGTCTTCTACTTCCGCCAGCTCCAGGAGAAGTGCAGAGAACAGCAGATGCCACTGTACGTCGCTTTTATCGAGCTCACCAAGGCGTTAGATATCGTCAGCAGAGACAGCCTCTTCAAAATCCTGCCCAAGATTGGCTGCCCACCCAAGCTGCAGAGCTTGATTGAATCCTTCCACAGTGACTGTGCAGTTCAATGGCAGCACCTCTGAGCCGTTCAACATCTTCAGTGGCGTCAAACAGGGCTGCGTTCTCGCCCCCACTCTCTTCGGGATCTTCTTCTCTCTGATTCTGAAGCATGCATTCGGCACATCAAGAGAAGGAATTTACTGCCTACGAGATCCGCTGCATCCTGGAAATAGCGTGGTAAGACAAGGTGTCCAACACTGAGGTTCTGTCTCGAGCATGTCTGCCCAGGTAGATGACCCAGTTAGGTTCCAAAGCCCAGAATTGTTTTACTTTTATACTTGGAATAACTTTAGCTCATTTAATTAAAGTAAGTATAAGATGCATTTATTTTATTTCCTCCAGACTTACTATATTAATAGTAAACATTTGTACAAAATTCATTAAAAAAGTAAATTAAGAATCTTGTTTTGTCACATGGAAGTTAATTTAACATTTTTCTTTTATCATTTTTCACTTATTAACACTAATTTGATATTCTTCCCTATGAAATTTTTATTCAGATAAGTAAAGACGATAAACTTTAATTTTTTTGCATAATCTGTATTTATTTTCTTAACATATAAAAAAATATACTGAATTTTTACTACAGTCTGTACTGTAATATAACTTTTACATCGCAAAATCAAAATATATGAAGATCTATACATAGCAATATGCTCTAACAGAAAAATTCATAATTGAATTAAGAAATAAAATGTTACAAAGACTCTTTGAAGGAAGTAAATTTTATTGTTTTGTTATGTTTAGTTTTTAACAAAGATTTTTTTCTTCTGAAGATACTGATTTGTCACATAATGTTTGTTTTTCCTCGAAGCAAGGCAATAAAACTACTAAGATGCAAATGGTTACTGAGAGTGAAAGAATATGAGAGAGAACAATAAAAGAAGTGAAATTAAGATAGAAAATAACAATTGCATTGAAAGTTTTGAAGATGTAGGTTGACTGGAAAGCAAGAAGCTGGAAGTGAGTTCCACAAGGGAGATGTGTGAAAGAAGAAGCAGTATAAAAATGATGGTTACCTCTTGCAGCCATTTTAACTGTAAAATATCTGCCAATCTTGTACTGTGCTTAAAATTGTAATGTCTAAGTACCAAAGAGAAAAGCTAGCAAAACAATTATCATAAAAATATTTGTAGAAAAAGTACAGGAAAGTATATTACAGCATGAGAAAGTAACGATGCCAGCTCAGGCCTAATAACATTGCAGATTCTTCTTTGTATTATATCAAGAATCTCTAAATATATAGCAAAAGCACCAAACCAGATGTAGCAGTAATATTCAATGTATGGACAAATGGTTGACTTATAAATATGCAAGAAATATTCTGGTGAGAAAAACTGTCTACCACAACATTGAACCAACTTTCCTAGTAGTAGACCTAGCAATTGATTCAATATAATCTTTCTACTTCATGTCAGTAGAAGACATTAATCCAAGAAGGCGCAATGAATCACTTGGAGGATAGCATCAGCCAAGTTGATGGTAGGCAAAAAAGTTTCTCTAAGACAATTAAAAGAGGGTGGTTTCATTTTGGATGTGTTAGCAAAAACCATTTCTTACTCCAGCTGACAATAGATTGTAGATCATTTTTGAGATCAGCTGCCAATTTGAATTGACTAAACTTACCATTAAGACAGGAGTAAATAGTTGTGTCATCAGAATAAATACCGAGCTGAGAGCTGATGACATCGGGAAAATCTTTGATGTAGGTCCAAGGATAGAGTCCTGAGGGATATTCACATCAATGTAAAATATCTAGCTGAGCAGCTGTTCAAGACAACTTTTTCATGATTTGATAAAAAAGATTGAAACCTATCAAAAATTAATTCAGAAATACCTGCATGCCAAACCCTGTCAAACGCCATTTCTTAAGAACTGTTGCAGGGATACAATCAAGTCCACATGCTTCATGGGGATCCAGTTTAGAGATGACAGCAAAAATCTTAGATGGAATTAAATGCATATCACACAGTAGAAACTCAATTCTTAATGAACAGTCAGTTAAGACAACAGTAGAATTTGAAGAAGATTTACTAGTAAAACATTCTGCTTTATCTGCAGAAGATAATAACACCTGAAATTGAGTGAAGAGAGGAGAGATAGAAGACTTACTCTAATTTAACACATTATTATAAAGCAGCCAGTAGTCACAATAACTAAACTTATACCATATGGTGCATCAGTCTATCAGCCTCTTTGAGGACACATTTACAATTGTTACAAGCAGACACAAAGAGGTGTATGTTGTGATCAGAACTATAATGTTGATACAGGTAAAAAGTAATTCCTGTGGGCTATAGCTGCTGAACAGTCAGGTGTGAACCAAGAAGATTGTAGTTTTACCTGGTATTTCCAAGAAGGTACAAAAGCATTGCTGCCAGCTTTTATCAAAGAAGAAACCTCAGTGGCACAATTCTCAATAAGTTAATAGTTTTCTCTGATATTGGCATTCAGAACAACAATTATAGTGATGATAAAATTTTTATGAGTAATTTGTAATTTTTTATCAAAAAAGAATTTTTTAAAAAGAATGTTGAATTTTAGGCTAGTTCATTATTAAAAAAAATTAAAATAGGGGCAAATTTATACTACAAAATGAATGAAAAAGTTATTTAAGAACATTGTCTAGTTTTTAACTTTTCTCAATTTCAGAAATTTCAACATTTTGAAATAGGCCTCCAGTTATGTCTCTTAGTTGCTCCATAAGTAAGCCTATAGTTGTTTAGGATAAAGCTTCATTAGCACTAACACAGTACCCTAGCAATGTTCTACAATACCCTCAGACTTTGCTGGTTTTCTGTTACAATGTAAGACTATCAAATGAATATCCAGTCTCATCATCTATTTCTTCTTTTATTCCAAACTTTCTATCATGTTCCCAAATATAAAAAATTCATTCAATGACATACAATTTTAATTAAAATATGAAAACTAATGTAAATCGAGTCAAACTGCAGATTTTATGCTGAGCATTTTTCTACTGGAACTTAATTTGATGTTTTTTGTCATTTCTGATAAATCAGGCCCATTGTAAATGCAACCTAAACAAATACAGTATTGTTAATGTTATACATTTATGAAAAGACAGGTTTCAACATTCCTTTTCAAATATAGATTCATGGAAATTCATCTTTTGTCATGAAACAATACAGGACAAAATCAGTTTTATTTTGTTCTTTTTAATTAATTTTCTTCTGAATTTTTTCAATCTTTCATCGATCAATAATTTCTTTAGATGCCCTTTCTTATAAGAGCTTCTTACATGCATATATATGAACTGGCACTGAAAATCTCTCATCATCTTCAAAGAAGTTCTTCCAAAGCTAAATATGATGTTTGATTATTTGGTCAGATTTTGGAAAGTGAGTCAGGTTGAGAACTTTTCAACACCATCTCATACATGCATGTGCACATACACATACACACAAACACAGCTTATTCATTTACACAATCTTCTGTCTGTATTGTTTTAGCAACAAGTGTCATGTTCAGTTGGGTATAAGTTGGCTTATAAATTGGTGTGTAGACTAATATACCAAAAACTCCAAATTAACAACACATAAGAGTTTTTCTAAATATGAAAGACTTGTTCAGTGTCCAAAT